TGGTCTCCCTGGCCAATTGGAAATGACCCTGTTCGGGGGAAGTATAAAGGGGAGCTCCCCAGGTATCTCATTCTCCCGTAAGCACCCTGGGAAAACACAAGGGTCTGATCTCTGCTCTGTGGAGCTGACTAAAACATGCGTGAGGGCTCTCTGCTCACTCAGTGCTGCAGGGGGAGGCTGGAGCTGCCTGAAGAAATCAGTGTGTGTGAAAGGGTTAACTGCTTTACTGCTGTGATTCCTGCACCTAAGGGGAGCTCCCCAGGTATCTCATTCTCCCGTAAGCACCCTGGGAAAACACAAGGGTCTGATCTCTGCTCTGTGGAGCTGACTAAAACATGCGTGAGGGCTCTCTGCTCACTCAGTGCTGCAGGGGGAGGCTGGAGCTGCCTGAAGAAATCAGTGTGTGTGAAAGGGTTAACTGCTTTACTGCTGTGATTCCTGCACCTCCATGGTAAAACCTTGGAGTGCTGAGTCCAGCTTCTCCTTCCTAGCTCTGCCTGTCTTCTCCCCTCCCCCAGCATCATGCTGCCCCACGCTTCTGGAGCCATCTCTGTTCTCATCTGCACAGAGCCATTTCTCTTCTCCAAGCAACTCCTGCCTGCCAGTAGTCCCCACACCTGATCTGTTTTCCTGTGCTGTGTCTTGTTACATAGGTGGTAAGCCCCTCTGGGCATGACGACAGTGACCTAGTCAGTGGTTTTTTTTTTTGTAAGAAAAAAGTTCAGGTACTCTGGGGAAAACTTGTTGACCAAAGAAAAGGAAAGAAAACTTGTTGATTTTTTTTTTTGTAAGAAAAAAGTGCAGGTACTCTGGGGCAAACTTGTTGACCAAAGAAAAGGAAAGAAAACTTGTTGAGGGGGGGGAAGTGCTGGGAGCCAAAATGCAGTTGCAGCCCCTTTAAGAGCCACAAGGCAGCGCTGGGAGCAGGAAAAAAAAACCTGCCATGTGTCCCGAGCAGGCTTCCGTCAGGAGCTGAGCTGCCCCAGGAAAACAGGTGCCGGTACGCGCAGGGGAATTCCTATTCCCTTTCTATGGGCTGTACCATCACAAAGAAAGCACAAAGAAAGTCTAGGTCTGTGAAGTGCTGTCTTAGCAAGATGCTGCATACAATGACGTCTAAAAGCATCACGCTGGATGTTCACACGTTTGCTCACAGTTCAGTGTGAGCTGGGCTAAGATTGGCAGGGGAGCTTGTCTGGATCCCCATAAGCCAAGTTGAGGCAGAGTGTAGGTTAGATTAGTGAGGCTGAAATCTCATCATTTGTTCCTGCAAAGTTTGTGCCCTGTTATTTTACCCTAGTGCTCTTGCCCTCCTAGTGGGGAGTTGTGGCTGTCCTGCAATGCCAGAGCCCTTCTCTTGCTGGCTGTCCTCTGAAGTATGTTTCTTTTGGTCCAAGATGATCATTTCAGCACTACGGCTGTGCCTGGTCTGGCCTCCTAGAGTTTTGTTTACTATTCGGGGAGGGAGGAGGAGTTTCCTTGCCTCTCACTGTGTGGTGTTTTATAGGGGCTCACATTCTCTCATGCATAATGACAGCTCAACCCCATCATCACTCACTGGTGAGAATGGCTGAGGATCCTGGCCCACCATGAATTGTTTGTGGGGAACAGTGGACTATTATGATTGCCAAGAAACCAAACTGGGGTAGCATCGATTCTCACAATAATGCTGTGCTTTGGGACCAACTTTGTAAATACCCTGAGCATGGATGTTCCAGTTTTGTGATGTTACCGAAACAGCAAAGTTGTTTAAGTGTACGTTGCTTCTGATACTCCTCCTCACCCCTTCCACTTGTTCTGGTGTTTCAGTAGCTCCAGGTTACATACATTCCTCTCTACTATTGCTGGGTGCCATTTTTGGTTGCATTTTGTACCATGGGCTTTTATTCCTGGGTTGCCTTTATATAGTTCGCAGCCAGCTGGTCTTGAAATGGATATTTGCGCCATGCAAAGCTCTTGTCTGCCTTTTTTGGTACTTCTTTTGTCTTAAAATCTGGATGACAAATCTGTCCTGTAATGCTACCAGCCTGCCATTTATTCTAATAAAAACAGTTGTAACAAAAGTGAAATGGCCATAAACCATGTTGGTGAGTCAAAAAATAATTGTCCATTGTGCTGAGGAATGGGTGTGATAACTGCAACAAACAGCTGTGCCGCTACGATAAAAAACAGCATTCCCAAAGGTGACTTGCAAAAGGAATAAAAGAATTAGCTGTTTGCGCTCTTGGGTTTTTTATGGTGGTGTATACAAAAGACCTGAAAGATTTTTGTTAGTTTTAAACGAACATTTCTTTTTCCTGCTTGATGTCAAGTTGAGTCTGCCCTTTTTTCATAGAGGTCCTTCTAACAGAGCTGGAGATGTAGATTGGGAGTTTTGTGAGCACTTTATTAGATGGTCAAAAGTGATGAATACTTAATAGTGCTTCTTCCCCCCCCCCATCTGTTTTTGAGTTAAATGGCACAGAAGGTAAATTGGTGTGCTGCTTTTCTGTCTCATAAAGGAGACTGAAGAGCTAGCCAATGAAATTGACAAGCAACTAATTTAAGCCAGATTAAAAATAAATGCTATTTTACACAACACATAACGGACCAGTGGAACTGTGTACCACAAGATATTGTCCAGGCCAATTTTAGTAGGGCTGCAGAAGCATAATTCAGAGCTTAGACAATGAGAACAGCCGCTGTTACATCTGTCAGGCCAACATGCCATAAGGAATCTAAAATCTCTTCTTGTGCGGAATTTACTGCCCGTCCCTCTTTATTATTTTGTATTGTGGTGGAGCCATCGGTCCTCAGAGATCAGAGCCCCTTGGGAGACTTCCCGTGGCTCAGGGACGCAGGGCGGGGATGGACGAAGCCCGGGCTCTGCTCTGTCACCCTTCCCGGGCAAGTGGCAGTGGCTTGCACAAGGGCTACATCTAGACTAGCATGATTTTCCGGAAATGCTTTTAACGGAAAAGTTTTCCGTTAAAAGCATTTTCATAACAGAGCATCTAGATTGTCACGGATGCTTTTCCGCAAAAGCACGTTTTGCAGAAAAGCGTCCGTGGCCAATCTAGACGCGCTTTTCCGCAAAAAAGCCCCGATCGACATTTTCGCGATCGGGGCTTTTTTGGGGAAAACAAATCTCAGCTGTTTTGCACAAAAGGGAATTTTGCCCGAATGGGAGCAGCATTGTCTTTCCGCAAGACGCACTGATTTCTTACAGTAGGAAGTCAGTGCTTTTGCAGAAATTCAAGCGGCCAGTGTAGACAGCTGGCAAGTTTTTCCGGAAAACCTGGCCCGTGTAGACACAGCCAGGGTGTGACGGGGCTTCGCTTCCCAGCGGGGCTGCAGCCGGGCCAGGTACTTACTGGCCGGGTGTCACTGTTCAGGAGGGGGGCTGGGGACAGGAGGGGGAGGGGTGAAACAGGAGGGCTGC